ACGTGGGACTGTCGGGTCTCTTTGGGAATTATTTGCGAATTCGATTCAATGCGGGGAGATCGGCGGGGTTCTTCGCCTGTTTATATGCGCTTGTCGTAAAGATTTAAAGATTTTCCGTAAGGCGCCACTAGCGGCAACGCTGACAAAGTGAAGCTGTTGAAAGGTTCCGTTTATAAATATTTAGGCTACTGCTGGAGCAGCCGAGGGGGTTGCGAAAATTGAGGCGTTTTATGCGCGTCAGCTGACTCGGTCGGTAAGAGAGGAATCGGATAAATATTTGAAAAGCTGTACGGAGACGACACCCGCGCCGATTCGTATTCTCTCGAACGAAGGTGTAATGCGGTTGATTATTTTTGTGTGGGCTGCGTATGAGTTTCTCGTGTGGGTACGAATCGGTGTAATTTTTATGAATTATTTATCGTGACGATTAAATGTATTTACGACGATGAAAATATTATATTTTGAAGCGAAGTTTCGCGCTCACGATACCCGGGACCAATTCGCGAAAGTTTACCGAGAGCGGTTATTTACGTTTGTTAAGCTTTGACACGTGCCTCCTAATCGTAGGGTAAATTGGCGGTGAGATCGTCGGATGCATATTCGTATACATACGCTTATCGAAATGTTTTCGAAATATTTTTCTTACGAGTTTTCGGGTACAGTCGATTAGATATAAATTGCAAATCGCAATTGACATAAATGTCCGTGCAGTATTTCGGCTTTGTGTAATAATAACTTTTTCGAGATCATTAACGACGGGACGATAAACGTTCACAGCGCTGTTGTGTATTTACGTTTCATATCTTTAGCAACGATCTATATTTATGGGCTGTTTGATCGGAGTATTAGCGTTAATTCGCGAATCTGAAATGGCATGTTAGACTCCTGGAGACGAACGGGTCGAAGAAAACAGTGTGGCAGGTGCCTTAAAGTAAGGATGCGGATGAAAAAAAAAATTGTCGACGTATCGACAGCCATGTTGATTTACCGTCGTATTGGGTAATGCTCGAGCCTCGATCAGAAATTTGCTCTCCAATTGATAATAAAAATTGGAAATTTTTTTTTTGAAAAGTTTAAAAAAAAATAGTAAGCCTTCTTCTGCCTTCTCTCGTCGCAAGCAAACGTAAGTGGGTCGGCCATTCTCGTACCCTGGGGGGGACTGGCGAATCGCTTCTTCGAAATATTTCTTTAGCGGCTACGCATCAATTCAGTTCATTGACTCTGGTCTCCGTTTCGCTGCGTAAAATAAAACGAGTGACACGGTTGTGACGGATGGTCGTTCGCGTACGCAGAGCTGAATAAATTGCCGGTTGCCCGTACGCGTATCACTTTTTAATAACGTGGAGACGGTCGTCGAGGACGATTGGCTTGAGAGAAAATTGAAAATAAAAGGACCCAGAGAGTCATTGATATTCCTTAGATAATTGCCGGTTCTACCGATCACTTCGGGACTGACGGAATTGCTCGGGAGTTTCGGCCTCGCGATAAATTTCACGTGGCGCTTGGTACCACGGGACTCTTCGGATGGGATCTGTCAGTTTTGACAGTCCAGCATGTTTTTGTGTGGGGGTTTTTTTTTCTTTAAATTTTTTACCGCAAACATTCTGGCCAATGAAACAGGGTTAAGGATGTATTTCGTCTACGGAAGTGAAATTGCGAAACGCAATACACTCGCGAAATCCTTTCAACCATGACTGTCAACAGGACGTCGTGTTTTGCAGAATTACACTGACACGTGTTCGAGCAGAGATCGGACGCCCGGTGGTCATGGTCAACGTCGAATTGCACTCGAGTGCAGTTTTGAGTGGTGCAAGGTGATGCATCTGTCATGCGGATCGATAAAAGATATTACGATCGATCCTTGATACTGCAATGAAAAACGAAAGGTGGTCCAGACGATAAATACATATTTCATCTCCGCAATTATCAGCCTCTTCGGCGATCGCGACACCTCACGTCCTCCAGTGCGTATCGGGAGGATCAAATTCGCGAATGCAATTACGATCGGCCATTTTATAAAATTCACACCTCTTACCAATTCAAGTTTCCTCGATCCGATGATCGGGAATTAAATGTTTGAAAAAAAAATTTTGAAAAAAAATTTTATCGCTGTCATCTTCTCCCTCTTCGTAAATTCACGCTGTTTACGCGGGACACGCTGGAACGTCAAAGGTGAACGTTATGCAAGGGCATTGACAGTTTCTTCACGTTGACCGATACCGTACATGTGTACATACTTTCCATATGTACCACACCTGTTTCTCATTTCGATGAGATCCCCGAGCGGCGCAACTCCTGAGATCGAATTGTCCCACGCGGTGTTGCGTTAGCAGCTTGGTCGGTTAACGTAGGTCTCGAGTGACGTCAGCGGAGACTCGTCTAGGCAAATAATACGTGGACGACCTTAGCACGATTTCGATATGCACGATAAGGACTGTCTTGATGTACGTACGCGCGTCCATTGCAACCTAAATTTATCAGACCAAGGTTACGATGCTTATTCGAGTTGACGTACCGCGTCACTTGGCTCCTACGGCGAACGTATCAACGTCCTCTTTCCTGTTTCTCGCTACGATTGTTTTTTCCTCTATTTTACCTCGCTGCTAGAGACTTTGCTTGGTGATCTTTTGTAACGCGTTGAGTTATGACATTGTTAAATCTTATTGGTTTTCACTCGTCGTAGTCACGGGTAAGCCGTAATGACTACGTAATGAGGTATATATAATATATATACATGTATAGTATATGCTTATCGTCCTATTGATTATTTCTTCCTGGAGACTCTGTGAGACTTTTTGGCCCTTACTTATCAGCCTGTAGACTCCTATCGCGTGTGTCGGTTTATGCAGTTAGTCGAGAACGGCGCACCCATGTATCGACGTAAAAATAAAGGCAGAGAGAGGGTATACAGATAGCATGGCTAAGGGAGAGAATGGAAAGGTCAAAGGTGATGTGTAGAGGTTTTGATAAAGTTCGTCTACCTATATCTATACTTGCGAACTTATCCCTGTCACGAGTACCTATATTTCCTGTGGGATCGTAAAACCGTATTGCCTATCTCGCGAAATGCTATCGAAGAGGTAAAGGGAATGGTCCGAGGACGGGTGGGCTAGAAATAGATACAAACTTGCCATTTAATTTTCGAGATTAAATCTGATATTGAGGAAGTTCGTGGCACGTAAATTTTTTTTTTTTTTTTTTTTTCGAAAAAGAAAGTTCGACCACACGTCACCAGTGGGTTTTTGGTATGTCCCATGGAAATTCGTGAATCGATTAGTCGAATGAAAAAAAAAAATTTTCTCCGTGGATCAGTTACGCGACTGTCGTAGAATATTTCGTTAATGCTCGATTTCAAAATAAAAAAGAAAGTATCGATTTTCAATCGTTTACATGAATATCCGCGAATTGACGTTTCGAACGAGTCGACGTAATAACATCGGAAACCTTGGGACACGGTGGATGAGACGTTAGAGGGTTCAGGGACGTAGGGACGTGAGTACCTTGAGGAATCACATTTCGATACACAACGACAATCTGATCTTCCCGTATTGCGTCGTGGCTTTAAATAAATAAAAAATAAATAAAAAATAAAGTAGTGTGCTTGATAATTACGAGCGTCGCGACGTTAAAGGTCGATCGATATGGGGCTAACGTAAAGATAGCGCGTAGTATAGGCGTAGGTAAAAAGGTTTGAAAATTAATAAAATTTGAAACTTTCAGTTCGCGCACGTGACCCGAAAAATTATAGCGAAAATGCCGCAGGCGTTTATTGCGAAACTGACAATTATGAAATTTGCAATATACATATCATCCCTAGCACGTGTTCACCCGTAGATGCCCGTTATACAGCAACAGTCCGTTCTTATACCTACGAGTGAGCCGTGACTCGAGTTCCAAGGTTCCATATGGAAATTTACGTTAAGGCAAACACGTAACGACGATGTAAAAGGCGCCCGAGGTGGAGAGAGACGTCTTGGCACGAAAGTATGGTGGGGATGAGACTCGTGGTATCCAGACGCGTATTCGCGGTCACGGTCACGATTCCTGATTTATTTCGCTACTTTTTACAAAATCGCTATACGAACGCCTCATTCCGAATCTCGATGCAGAATCGATACCTCGTTCCGTTCTCTTGAAATATATTAGCACGCTGTATCCCATTCGTTGGCCCGGCGAAAGATAATACGAAAATATTTTAAAAAATATTCTTCGCTAACTAATCTCTCCCTCTCGTACCTTCGTAAAGACGTTTTTCCGCGTACCCCGTATACGTGTGCGCTGTCCTATACTGCATCGAGATAGAGATGATAATAATCCTGAATTACACCTAAATCATAGGGACACGGAAGGCACGCGATGTCCGACCACTAGATCGCCGACTGCGGCCTCCGCTCCCTCTCCCGTAATTCCGAAACCGCCAACCAGCACCAACCGCCTCCTGTTTCCACCTTCCCGTCCTGTCGCGCTTCCCCACCACGGGCAACACCTGTCCGTTGCGCCGGCAGACACCACGGGTTCTGCCTGCTCGCTCGCCGCGACTGCCTCTCTGCTGCTTTACTGACTATAGGCCGTTCTACTACTACCTGCCTGCCTGCCTGCCTGCCTGCCTGCCTGCCTGCCTGCTGCCCCTGACTCGTTGCGCCGTGTGCTGGCCTGATCTGCCTCGCCTGACTCGCTGGCTGTGTCTGTCCGTCTCTCTGTCTGACGTATATACCCTGCGCCGGTTAACGAAGCTTCTCCCGTGTAGTAGTCCTCTTGCTCGTTGTGCACCTCCGCAGTACGCGCGGAAGGGAGCTCACGGTGCGGAGCGATTTTCGATAATACTTTTGATCGCCATCGAGCGTCCAGCCGCGCGAAGAGTTTTCGTTTCCTCGTTAAAATCCGAAACACGGTATCATCGTACGATCGCGAATTATACAATTTTTATAAGGATTGCTTTGGATTTTATTTTGACTTTCGTTGTTTTTTTTTTTTTTTTTTTTTTTTTTTTTTTTTACGTTCTTTCCCACTTTCCCATGTACCGGACTCTGTCTTACCTGTTGTGCCGCCGATTGTCTCTTCGGGCGATTCCATTAGTGAAAACTAAACTGAGAGCTGGCTTTCGTTGTCCGGTACGGTCGTCGTGAGGGTTTTTAAATTTGAGCAAAATCACGATCGGAATCGATTTAATTTTTGTTCGCTAAGTTTAACGCGCAACGATAATCTTTCGACCTAACGTTTGGGTCACTTGTGTTTCTCAGGTATATTTGTATGCTACTTGGAAATTTGGTACTTCGGTACTCGAGCACGTGACCTTGTAAACGACGTTATTGCGCCGATCGTGTCGGTGACTTTAAAATTATGCGCTATCACGTTACTCGCGAAAGACTTTACTCTCTTCGTTATTGTTATTCAAAACGGTCGTGCTGATTGCGCGATACCTCGGATGTGCAAATAATGGTCATCTAACGAACTGTCGAACGGAACGAGCATTATTGCTGATGCAGTGAAACTTGCTACGTACACGGAGGATTGACTATTGTTTTACTTTAATCTCGCGAGTGTACCTTGTGCCTGAAGATTTTATTAACCAACTTTAACGTTCGGCCGTGCAATTAATTAAAAGTTATTAATTTATTGGCAATCGCTCGCACTCTTTAGTCTGCAGCGTCTGTTGCTCGTCTCGGGCGAATAAGGCTCTCGCGGGGTATACGCTGATCACGTTTGTGGACATTGTCCTCGGACTTGATCGATTTGGTGAAATTCGTTGCTTTTTTTTTTGTCATCGGAGTAAAAATAAATAAAACTTAATAAAGACAAAAGGACACCGCCGGTGCATTCGACGCGAGATGCTCGACACCGCCAGCTACCCCTTGTCGAAATTCTTACGAACTTTCAACAGGCGTACGGAAATACGTCGCAAACAGGAGTATTCGGCTGTCGCGCTAAGTCAGGCTTGAATCTGTACGGCGGTACTGCTTGGAAACGGCCTTTACGATAAATAAAAAAAAAAAACTGTATACACCGTGCCGTAAAAATTGTTTGATCGATTTCTGTAATTGTCGATGCTGAGTGATTAAAAAAAAAAAAATTCAACAAACTCTCGCCAGCTGATACCTATAACGCCACTAGTAAAAGCAGGTGTGTCAAAGCTGAATTTAACTCCGTTGAACCCAACCTAACCAGTACCCATCCCTAATCGACCCTAACCCAACCCCTTTTCCGTATATGCGCTGTACGGTCAATTCGAGTCGTTTAGGTTTTTTTTTTCGCTCGCGAAAACTTGACGCGTCACGTGGCTGTAATCGAATACTGCATAAATATGATATTTGATAATATCTTACGTAATGACAAAATAGATCCTCGCGCGAGTCTATTTTAGTGCCTGGTGTTATTGGTACGGGCCGAATTTACTTTTGCCACTTTTTGTACACGCATTATCGACTACGAGATCTTTCGTTCGATAAGGACGAACAGGACTGCCTGAATTTCGTATAAAGTTTCGAGACGCGACAAATTCGCACACTGGTGGGATTGCGAAATTACAACAGCGGAGCTTCGACGCACAATTGCCAATGACAATCCTATTAGTCTAATGAGGTTCGCGAGCGCTAAGAGGATTTTACGGGGTGGGGGTGGCGGGGGGTAAACTTTTACGGACGTCTTTGTTGGTGAATTCGTGTCTCGTGGGGATTCGCGCGTAACTTGCGATTCCGGCTGATCGGTTTTACGATATTTGTGCATTTTGCTATTTTTGCGCAATAAAGAAACAAAATTCGACGAAAATCACTCGGTTGCGATCACGAGGCATCGTACGAAGAAAAAGAAAACGTCACGTACCTCTCGAATGACGATTCACGCGATTCTTCACGCATCGCGGTACAATTTGCACGAAAGAGCGATTTAACCGGAAAAATTGTGCATAACGAAGCTTTCCTAGATCCTCGTGCGATTCGCGATTTCGTTCAAGGACGCGACAATAACAATCCACTCGCAAGTTATATTCCGTGACTCACGAGATTAATCACGAAGATATAGTCTATCTCTCATCTTTCAGTTTGAAATTGAAAAAGAAAAAAACAACAATAATATTTTTCATAATTTTAATCCACTTTTTTTTCCCACGCTCGATTCTCGATCTTAAGTACGTCGCGTATCGCCGATTCGCCAATCTCTTTGTTACTCGTCACGTGACTGGTAAGTGGAAAAAAAAAAAGTCGATCCCGCGTGTCTCTTCCATGTCTCTCGGATTCCTTACCTCGATGTTAAACGTCGTTTCTCGTCTTGTATGCTAAGGGATATCAGCTGTGATAGATAAAGAGTAATTATATAACGCGGGTCGACCGAATACGCGATAAATACAATTAGCGCGCTGTGATTTCATCCGAGTGCCTGATATTTTGTACCTGGGCTTTGCTGTCTGACGTCGAGTGCGGCTCCTGCCTCCCTCTTGGCATCGAGTGTACCCACCGCCAAATCAAGTGCAACGTTATTGGTGGGTCACGCAGTCGGCCGTACTGGAGATAAGCGTGAGGATTCTCGTCACCATGACGGAAATCTCGGAAATGGATCCCAAGGATCGTTACGTGGTCGAGGGAATTGGTAAGTGTCTCGTTATGGCTTGACGACGTGTTATTTGTTTCCGTAATGAGATCCTAGGTATAACGTAGCCTTAAGGTTCACCCATAGTTAGTCTCCCGTATGGTATGGACAGTATGTGTGTATATACCCTCTCGGAACTTGCCTGTAGGGAGTGAAACTCGTTCGCGTTTGAATTTCACGTCGAGCGGACGTCGTCGGTGCCGGGAATAAAGATTTTACGGTATTCATTTTTCACCAACGGAATTCATCTGTTTCACGTGTCATCGTCACTCAAGGACGACGATGACGTCTTTCGATTTTTACTCTCGTCCTTTCGCGCGGCTTTGCTTGCACTAACAATATCCTTTGATTTACTGTAACCATGACTGGGCATAGTTATTTTCGATCGATCAATACGATCGAACGACGCGACTACGTGCGACTGAGAGTCGTTGCGACGAAAGATAATTGCAGTGTGTATATGTACTTTTTTTTCGAAAAAAAAAAAAAAAAAAAAAAAAAAAATAACAATATCCTTTGATTTACTGTAACCATGACTGGGCATAGTTATTTTCGATCGATCAATACGATCGAACGACGCGACTACGTGCGACTGAGAGTCGTTGCGACGAAAGATAATTGCAGTGTGTATATGTACTTTTTTTTCGAAAAAAAAAAAAAAAAAAAAAAAAAAAATTGTGATTTTTTTTTTTACATTTTTTGAGTGGGAGGAGTATATCGTCACGAAGGAAATTATTATGGCATTTGTAAAATTAATTTCTTTCGTTTCCTCTTTTTACTTACCATTTACTAATGACAGTCTTTCCCGTGACATTTTTTTTTTCTGTCGCATCACGGTTGGCATGACTAGCGGGACGCCGTTGTTAAATATAATTTAAGGTGACTAATGTTTTCTATACTGTTGACGGGACGTCTCTCTGAAATAATCACATTGTATTATCGAAAACCGTGCAATCTCGTATTTTACTCCATTCACCAATTTTCTGACTGTTGAATGTATGGAGACGAGGTATATATATAGTTTTTTTTTTGTTAAAAAAAGAAATATGGATATTCCAGTAACGGAGTGTATCGGCTAGTCGTGGTATCGTTGATCGATTATCTCGACGATCTCAGGAATATACATTACTCGTAAATGATTAATTTCTGGCTTGGCGTGAGTGACGTAAGACGTGAATTGTCGGAGAAAAAAATATCGTGAATTCCAAAGTCGAAGAATTTCCGTAAAGATTTTACGTGGTAAGGGCCTATGATGATCGTGACCCTGAACCCATCGTCTGAACTTTCAAAAATGTCCGATTCGAAGGGCCTTCGCACACGTGGTATTATACACGTATTCCCACAGTTCCGGTCAAGCGCCATTGGCTCGTGTTCCTCTTAACCCATAATTCACTCTCCTGAACCATCTTGCAAATTATACGTTTCTCCCCCCATGCCCACGGCAGACGAATTCACACGCACCTTACGTTCATTAATAACGACAGCCTATACGAATTCACACTCGATATCAATCGCCGAGATATATGCGTGCAAACAAGCCTACTCGAAGTTGATTTAATCGTGAATGATAACTCATTGTTTATTTCGCCATTATTATCGACAGTCACTATCAGCCAGTACCGTTTGGTAGGAATCAGCTGTGAACTGGTCTTATTCCCTTTTCGCTTCCCCTAATATTACCTCACGCGATTTACCAGTCATCCTGCGGGTTACGGCAGACACTTGTAAACTCATCCTTCAACAATGTTCCTGGCATTTGATATTTGCATACGCGTGGACGTTGATTAACGAACCGGTGAAATAAACGCGCATAAAACTGTCAGCCTGCTTTCATATCTCGACTACGGTAAAAGAATACCAAACTGAAGTTAGGATTCGTATGGATTTTGTCCTACGGTCATTTTCGCGATATTCGCCACTGGCGACTGTCAAAAATATTATGGAAGGACCATGGCGCATTTTCATGTAAATGAATAATTTTTGAAAATTTTTCACATTTTTTTCTCATCCCTCACGGTCTCTTTTCTTATAGTCACGTATATCTATTTTGTACCGGGACGTCGTATCTGCACGTAGGAACTACCCGTCGGCCATTTTCATCCAACGGGGCAAATTAGCCGTATGCATATTTGGCTAAAACTTTAGTCCCACTTAGCACGTGCTCCGAGGATCGAGGCTATGACGTTACTTGTGCCCGTCGTTATGTACACGTAACGTGACGTTTGTCCGGATCGAATATCGGCTGTGCGCGTTGGACGGTCACTGGTGAGCTTGTATCTATACAAATCATTAAAGTCATCCGACGCGTTAATTCAATTGGCAAGCAACACTTCCGTAGATCCTCTAAATGTACCTAATAGACTTTTATTTATCGTCGTCGATCCTCACTCCGTTTAAATTATTGATCCCTTATACGAGTTAACGATGCTCGGTTATAGATCATCACGGTCGCGACTTTAAACGGCGCTTAAACCGATTATTTTAATGCCTTGGCTGTCGCGCCGCTTTTGGATCACGAGACGCACGAGGACCTTCCGATGACGTCACGCTCTCGCAAACGATAACACCACTCGCACAGGTACACGCATTATCATTCGATGCAAACATCGTTTCTCCGCGAATGCAGTATCTCTTTTCAAACCAGAAATATGATTCACGGCTTTAACATATTTTTTATTTTTTTTTATTTTTTTTCTTCGTATCGAATACCAAATCCGACCCCCCTCGCCCGTTCGCCGGGCAAACTCATCGGTAGACTCAATTTATCATTAAACGCAGTAAGAAAATACGACGTGCAACATGGCTCTTGCCAAAGTGCAAAAACGTGTTGGTAATCTTGCAAAAAGCACTGATGCGCCTTGGTTGCAGTCTGTTGCAGCCTGTTGCACGCGTGATATTCCGGAAGAGCCAGTTGCACGTACGAATGCATCATACGTGGTAGGATTGACGGTGGAATTAAAAATTTTTTTTCAAGTAAAATTTCAGACCAGTCTCTTACCGTCTGATCCGATTGCGATTATGTGAGTTGCAATTCGATGTTTTTTTTTTTTTTTTTTTTTTTAAATAACTTTTTAGTAACTTGGCTTTTTTTTACGTAGGCTGCGTATCGCGGAACAAACTGAGGTTCTATCGTGGCAGGTGATAACTGGATACCGGGATATGGATCGCTGATAGATGGTTTTACATGGTCCATATACGATTCCTCGCGTTTACGTTATATTGTGATCTAGGGTTAGGTATTTTGGTCAAACGCGAACAATGGGCTTTGCGATGCGTCTCCATTGCTGCGGCATAAATTATTTAGCGAGCTTAACAAATAACCCACCATTGGGTGCGACCTGTCTGCCCATTGCGACGTGCGGCAAATGCTAATTCGCCGCTGAAACTCTTTTGGGAAGGCGAGTGGGATTTATTCGTCGTGCGAATATAACGCCGAACTTTGAACCCGCCTTGATGCCAGAGGCGATCATGGTTGATCTTGGATGATCCGATGATCTTGATCATCCAACGTGGAGTCGCGATCTTACGACTCGTTATTTATTTGGACTTTGATACTTTGTCATGATTGTTTGTGTTGCTTTTTTTTTTTTTTTTTTTTTTTTTTTAATGGATCCTTTCAACTGTGATGTCTGCACTTGTTATTGGGGTGTAACGCTGAATTTGTTAGCGACTGGTTTTTTTGGAGCTTTTTCATTTTTTTATTGTCAGTATTGCGGTTTTTCCCTTTAGATTCTACGCGCGAATTTATGCAATGACCGTGCGATTTTGCAAGTTTTGTAGATATCTTTTTTCTTGAGATTGGTATGTCCAGGAACTCAAGTACCTTTTGATTGCCGGTGGGATAAAGTCATTTTGGATGCTGGATCCTGTGAATGACGCTGGGACTTGCAAAACGATGAATCCTAAAAACGATTCGCAATACGTAACTGTGCAATTTTGATTCCCGTCTAGAGACTTCAGTAAGAATACTTTGCATTTACATCTGCTGGCTTTCGTGGGGATCTTGATCTTCTCGAAACAGCATCCCGACCGATGGACCTTTTATTTTACCTTTGGTATCGCAAAATTTGTTCATAACAATTTTACCACGATACAATTTAGTGCGAGGAATAACGTGTACTCGAAAATACAGGTCGAAATTGATTTATCGAAATTCCATTTTAACGAATCGCACACAATGAGGCGCTTTTCCTTCGGATGTTCATTTTTACGTAACCTCGTGCAGAACAATGAAATTTGTCGCATATGGTTTCCGCCGTCACGTGTTTCACTCGTCACGGCACCAATTCGTTGATCGAGTCTCATAAATCCCTGAAAATCGAATATCGACAGACCGTAATATCCCTTATTTAATTTTTCTTCACTTCTACTTTCATTGTCGCCAATATATTCTGAATACGTAAAAAATAAACGTGGGCACGAAGCGGTTTGCAAAGCAGGTACTACCTGCAACCCGTTTCCGATACCGATCGTAGCTTTCGCTTTCGTTGACCGTATTTCCCCCATTTACAGTCACGGGTAGAAATTCGAAATCGCTAATCGCAATTGAAACTCTATAAACGAAAAATGAGACTATACATGTTACCGCGTTTTGAAAATACGTCACGAACGGCTCCGTTCAAATTCTATCCGTCTCTTCCACGTATCCCTACTTATTCCATAGGACTTTGAACAGCTGAGTTCACTTGGGCGCCAGGAATCTCCCAAAGACACCATTGACCTCGGCACTGTCGACCAAACAGGATTCCAAGGCCCCGAGAATACTGCAGTCATTCCGCACAATTGTTTTCCTCCCAGACTATTTCCCTACGAGCTACTGTTATTGGCCGTTCGCGTCACGTAACGCTCTGCTAAGACATAAAAATAACCTGCAGGGTTGCACAGGCTTATGTGCACCGTTGCAATCTGAGTGCATTGACTGCACTAACCAAATGGCTGAAATATAAAATTGAACGACCGATAAACGCTCTACTGAAACGTCTTTCGAATTTCTGCTACCA